GGGGACCGAGACGACTTCAACGATACCCTACTTTTGGACCGGAGACGAAAAATAATAAAGTTATCATACTTTTTCTGGTGATCGCATGATGTAATTGTGCAGTTAATGTTACCTATGGTGAGTAAAATGGCAGCTCATCTCTGATTCCAGCAAATAGAAGAAAATAAACAGTGGGGATGCATGTTCTAACCTAACCTATTCTAATAAATTACCATAATTATTACCAATCAAATTATTAGAATAGGTTAGGTTAGGTTTGAACGTGCGTCCACACTGTTTCCTTTCTTCTCTTTGCTGGAATCAGAGACAAGCCACCATTTTACCCACCATAGGTAACATTATCCAATTGTGCTTACTTATTAGTGCAGTCTAAAGATTGTTGACACTTTGAATTTCATAGCAATTGGTTTTTGCGACAAGCATACCTATTTGTGGTACATTTATTTGTGGCAAAGATCTTATTTTCACTTTACCGAGTGCTTAGTAGGTAATGTGCGGATAACCTAGATACTCTGCACATTATCTAGGTAATTTGAAAAATGGAACAGTTTTCACAACTTTAACGGATCACCCTAGTTAATCTGCAGATTAGCTAGGTAATGTACACATTAACGACTTTCGAGCTTTAGCGGTAACAAATGCATATATTTTGAAGGATATTCTTATGATTTGAAGTAAAAGCTTACTTTTATTCATATGGAATACTTTTTACTAAAGCAAAACCTTCATTCAAAAGCATTTACTTCATGCTCATAAGTATAAGGTTTTGCTTCTATTTTTACTCAAACGGCTAAAAAGATTTCTCTCAAATTTTAGAAGAATAAGGCAATACTTGTTTTTAATCATATAGCTCATTATATTTATCTAATAGAATATAGTTTATCATTCAAGTTAATGTTGGTTTTATTATGATATTGATTGTAACAACATAAAAGAAAGTATATTTTTCTTAAGTTATCATCTTACATTTTTTTGATTAAATTATATTGTAAATGATAATATACTTAAATTTAAAACTTAAATCTGCAGATATGCACCAAATAAGTGTCATGGAAAACTCTGCTGCACAAGTTGAAGGAGATGTAGAAAGTGCTGACAAATTAACAGAAGATTCAAAAGATTCTTGGTATAAAGATTTTGATGAAGCTAGTGATCCTCCAGATATTGGAGAACTAGATGATGGTGATTCTGATTATGATGAGTATGAAGATTCATATTTAAGAAAAAAGAAAAGAAAGGTACGGGTAAGGATTCGTTTCAGACTAAAAAGGAAGAATTAACTTTATATTTTTTTCATGCTTTATTCATTATTAATTCAAGTTTTTTCAGTTAGAATTAAGAGGAAAATGTATTTAATTTTAATATAAGACTGTCAAAATAATTCAGAAATTAAATTATTTGAAAATGTGGTTTTTCTATTTCAATTATATAAATCTTTATTTTGTCTTCTTAATTTCAGAGAACATTTAATTATTATTTTCCAGAATACTCGGTCAAAGAAGAAAACAGAACGCAATGATTACAGTGCAGAAACAGAAAAACCCTATAGTTGTGAACGTAAGACTCATTTAAATAAATTTTTAATTAAAACATAAAATGAAAATATTTTCTGAAAGACTGTGTGATGTTTTTAAATGATAATTTGAATTATTTATAATTTAACATGTAAAAATGAAAATGCTCAACAGTTTATTAAAAAGTATCTTTTTGAATAAAGCTTTAAACTCTGTTTTTAATAATATATTTAGTTTAAAATTCATAAGGAGAAAAATTCAAGCAATTTAAAATAAAATAATTTAATTCAATATTAAATGTAATAGTGTCAGATATATGTATAAGTTAACTGGGCACTCAATTCTTGGTAATATTTAAGAATTTTTTTTTATTCCAGTTTGTGGTGCTCGCTACAAGACTCGTCCAGGCCTATCTTATCACTATATGCATAGTCACAATAGTGTATCAGCAGAAAACACAGAGGAGGATTCAAGCAATGCACCTTCTAATGCATCACCTTCATGTCATGTGACAGGATCAACACCACCTTCAGCTGGACCTTCCAGTGACAATCCACTTGCAGGTTTGAGGAAATTTCAGGACAGCTTCCTATCTTTCCTAAAGATTCCAAGCAATGGTACGGCAGACATTCACAGCCTCAATAAACATCATACCTCTTCTTCTCCTTACATGGTTTCTCTCATTGCATGGTAGAAAATAATGTTAGATATGATTTATATTTTTAATTGACATACAACTAAAAAAATGTCAGGAGAAGAAGTTGGTAGAAATGTGTGTCTTCCATGTCAAAAAGAACACAATCTTTATTGTTTGTGTATTGATGCATGTAATTTTTAACAGATGTATTTCAATCATTATCACTTGTCACAATTCACCTGTTGTTCCATATGTTTATGTTTGGTGTAAATTGTTTTGTATAACCATGTCCTGTTTAACTGCATGAATTTTTAAACAAAATATATTAGATATTTGTTGTTAAAAACAAATAAAAAAATTCCAAAACCAAAAATTAACTAAATTTTTGTTTCCGTCTGCATTTGAGATAAAGAATTGTTGGAAATGCAAAGATATCAGCTGTTATGAATGTCTGCTTACTTGGTCTAGTGGATTGAGATTTCCTGAAACCTGCCAGTGAATAAACTGTTATATTTGGTATGTTCAGGTAGAATATTGAAAGTGGAAGCATAAGGAATTGTGTGGAATTCATATTTTACATATATTAATTATTTTAATTATTGTGGAATATAAAATTAAAAATTCTGTAATGTTAAGAAATTTAGTATTGAAATCTATATAAAAATATTAATAATTCCTGAAGTAAAATAATCTTAGTTGCTTGTTTGATAGTTTGCATGCTGCAATGGTAAGATACCAACTGTAATGATCTTCTCTAACTTTTGTTCTTCTGTCACGATAAAAATGTAATTTATTTTTATTGTTGCAATTTTAATTTTATTACTAATATACTACTGTAATGTTATTTCATTTGTTTTCCATTAATTATTTTCGTGAAAGGTTTGTTGAAATTCATGATATGATATACAGTAGAACCTTCATCAACTGCACAAATTGGGATCAAGAGTGCTACAATTGTGCAAGGTGTGTGATCGATTCTCCGTTAATAGATATATAAATGATTGCATTTTAAATGTATTTCTTTTTTTCTCTCTCTCTCTTTCTCTCTCACTCTCTTTTTTTTTATCTTTAAATAATTGTATCTTGCAATTTTTATGATTGTGTGCAGTTTATGATACAGTTGATAAAGGTTTTATTGTATTTATCTTTAGTGGTCAAAATGGAAGCACAGAAATGCCTGAATACATGATTCACATTACTCTTCTGATTTTCCTTTTTATGTCAGTCAAATTCATTCTATCACCTGCAGATTTAATTTATTATTTATGAAAATGTAATTTAAATTCTTCATATATTAAAAATATAACTAACTATTGTAATAAATAAAATAATAACATATATACATTAAATTTTAAATATAAATTACTATGAAATCTACAGCAAAGAAATTCTATTTGTATTATGTCTGAATAAATACAGATAAAATTTAGTGATCTCATCAGATAATTATTTAAATAATTCATTACTCTTAAATTTAATTGGCCTCTGGCTCTGTTTTGACTACTATTTTACATTTTATAATAAAAGTGAAGTTATAACTTTGAAATAATATTGCAGTAAATCAGTTTTAATTTCTCACTTTAAAATTTTTTCTTAATTTCCTGTTTACTAGTTCATGTAGTCTCAAGATACTTTGTACAAAAGCTAGTTTAGGATATAACTGTCATAATAATAATATCAGATCATAGCAGAACTATCTTTCATGTGGTCTTAATGTAAGTGCTTATTATGCATGTCATTATGTAACTTTGTAAGGATATGTTCTCTTTAATCACAGTTCATTTTGTAAAAATGTATATATACTTTGGAAGTATAAAATTCAGTTTCTGATGTTTTATTAACATCTTTGTGTTGAAGTTTTCTGTAATATTTACTTGACAATCTAAAATTACTAACACCAAGCAGTCAAACTATACAGAATTATATAGGAGTAATTTTAATTAAAAAGTATATTTTATAAGTTTGCATGACATGATTTAATTTTAAAAGCATTAAATACAGTAAAACCAATTTTTTTAAAAATATGCGTATATTTTGTAAACTGGAAATCGTTAAAATTATATTAATATGAAATATTTCTAACATTTATACTCTATTTAAATATTTTGGGCACACAAAATCAAATTAGAACTCATATATTTAAAACAAATATAAAAAAGCAAGATATTTTAAATTATATGAAAAATATTTCTGAATTTCGTTCTCTTCAGTTGTAGCATAAGCTCATTATTATAAATACCTTTTTAAAACATTTTTGTTTTGTCTTTTATTTATTAGGTCAGAAGAGTGCCTCTGGAAAATCTGGAGTATCTGCGAGTCCTTATTGTGATTTCTGTCTAGGTGATAATGTAGAAAATAAAAAGACGAGACAGGCTGAAGAACTTGTTTCATGTGCTGATTGTGGCAGATCAGGTAATTATTGAGATATGTATAATATAGATACATAGATAAAAAATATTTTCCTTAAATACTCAGGCTATAAATCTGATAATTTTAATAATTAATACTAAGTAATTTACTACTAGAGGTAGGTATCTACCTCTAGTAGCAAATTACTATATACTAGAGCTACTAGAGGTAGGTATCTACCTCTAGTAGCAAATTTGGTAGAGATCTAGAGATCAGATTTGGTAGCTACTAGAGGTAGATATCTACCTCTAGTAGCTACCAAATCTGATCTCTAGTCATAATTGGTATAGGCCTAGACATTAACTTTATCAGTGAAGACTAATATTGAAGAGTCTTTTTAAGAAAAAAAAAATACTGTTGCAAGATCCAAAACATCAAAAGAAATAACTCCGATACAAGAGTTTGTAAGGTAAAAAAAATTTTTTTGTATTAAACTATTAATACCAGTACTAGAATTTCTGACTACAAAACATAAGTTATAATTTCAATAATAATAACTTAGTATAAAACAGAATTGTTATAAAATTAGAAAATTTATAAAAATGAAATTTCTCGTAACAGACAATACATAAAATGTGTCCTTTTCACATTTATAAATAATTAAGTGTCTTCTGAGCTGAGTCAATCTTTCTTTAGAGATTACTCATCTGTCTTAATATGTAAAATATTATAATCTTCCCTCTGGTGAAGGCACAATCAATTAAAAAGTATACATTTGATTAAAAAAGTTGCCAGGACAATAAGTGCAATAAGAAGTTTCAGGACATATTTTATATATTGTCTGTTACAGGAAATTTTTTTTTTTTATAAATTTTTCTAAGTTTAAATACTTATTGTACTGGAAATTTTTTACATCAGAATTGTTATAAGTTTCAAATTCAGTATTTATGACAATGAAAATGATTACTAGTACAATTTACAAAATTACAGTTATTCAAAATCTTGGATAATTAACCTGATTAGGGAAAGAACCTAGAAGAAGAACACTTAATCAGCACCATATCAATCAATCATTTACAATTCCACAGCTATACACTGACTAGCAGAAGTGACATCTGGATTGCTATATGAGTTTAATTAAAAATTGTCTTTTATACAATGTTAATTTGCATAATGAACATGCTTACAAAAAGTAAAAATAAAATGTTTCTTAACTAGTGTTTCTACTAGTATCTAGTTACAAAAATATAGTATATTATTTACTATTTAAACCCTAAATTAGTAAGATGCAATTCCATTCATTAAGAAAATGTTAGTATGAAATTATGAAAGTAATCTACTAGCGAGGAAATATTGAGATGGCAGTTTAAGTTTAACATAGCTCAATCTTTCAAAACTAAGAATAACTGAAACAAATGAAAAATGTATAATGCAAGTAACTTAATATAACTATAAATAAAAATCTCTCTTGCTACTTTACGTTATGTAAAACAAACTTTTGTCATATTTTTCCAATTATGTTAAACTGAAACCAATTTCAATACCATGAAAATCAAGGGTTAGGTTATTAGGTTATTTATTTTTTGTTGCCAATAATTATAATAATAGACTTTACAATTGCTTGATTTAACTATCTTCCAAATTTTTATGTAATCTAAATAAATGTTTCCTTCTATAAATGAAGCTATCTTGTAGAATTTTATTATTTTTATATGTATATTGCTTAAAAATAGATGATTTATTTGGTCCATTTTCATAAAATCATAATATAAATATATCTTCTAATACTTCTCATTTAAAATTTATAACAGAAATATGTAAAACTAAATATGTTAAATGTTATAATTAACCTTTCTTTATTCAATACTGCCTGTAATATAATGTCATATGAATTTCACTGCAATCTGTTCATTAGATGCTCTGTAGTATTAATATATTGACAAGTACTGTACAGGGTGATTCAGAAGTCACAGAAATTTAAAAAAATTAATAACTCACAAACTATTTACAGTAAGATGATGTGGTTTTCACAGAAATGCTTAGAAAGAAACAGGGTTTTTTTTGTGTGTAATGAAAATTTTAGTACCAAAATAGTTATATTTCTTGCTATAGATGGCCGTTGATATGATTACATAATTTGGGAAGTTGTTACTAGAGCTTACACTAAGAACATTTTTATTGTTTTATTCTTACTTTAATAAATTTATAAATGATTTCAGTTTTTTACAGTGCCTTCTATGGCAAGAAATGTAACTATTTTTGTACTAAAATTTTTATTACACATAAAAAAAATCCCACTTCTAAGCATTTCTATGAAAACCACATCATCTTACTGTAAATAGTTTGTGAGTTATTAATTTTTTTAAATTTCTGTGACTTTTGAATCACCCTGTACAATTGAACCCCCTATAACACAGTAGATACATTCCACTTTATCAGAATTTCACATTGTAGGAATCCTTAAATAGATGAACCAATCACAGCCCGGCACGTGTGCAGTTTACAGACTACAGCTGTTTGAAAGGTTTTCTTCCATAAAATTAATCGATTCTAGACTAATTTGACTCAATATTTCCAAAACACATATAATTTTTTGGGAATAATCCGTATAAACTATGCTATAAACAAAAAATTGTAGGATTACTTACTGAGTGTGCCATTGCTTAAGCTTGTTTTTGTCGCGGAGCAGCGCATCGAATGGCGGGTGCGTTTTCTAATAAGTTATTTTTCTGCAAAAAGTTAGTTGAACTTTGGAGACATCATTAATAGAAATAATTTTTATGACCGTTGAATAAGAAATGTTTTTTTCACAAGAAATGTATAAAATTACAGTATTGTATTAAACTTACAGTACCTAATTTATATACTGTACAGACGATAGTAAACTCAACTTACCTGCCTAAACTGTCTGTAGCGTGTAAGTAGTTCAGCTGCTTGTCCACTATTGGTCCAGATTCGACCAATCCTGTCGCAACACGAGTCGTTCGATGACATTTTACCACATTTTACGAGTCTCTGTTAGCGTCTTTATACGAATACGGTCGCAATTTTTTCACTGCAATATACAAATCCGCATTATATGAACCCGCGTTATAGGGGGGTCGACTGTACTTTACAAAAGAATATTTTTCAATGACCTGGTGAATAATGGAAAAGATTTCAATGCTTACCAGGGAAAAGTGATATCGAACAACTAGGAGGAATTTATTCCATATATACCATATTTTAGCATAAATAAATTTGAGTAAGAGGAATTAAAGTAATAACTTTATTTTCTCATTCTGTCATCTCCAAACATGTCAATATTTTCAAGTAGCCATAGTTACATTGTTATCATTTTGGTATTAGAAGCTAAATTAAAAAACTTGAGTGTATTTTCTAGTTTAATATGTCTTAATAAGGCTAATAAGATATCTTATAGTGAACCATAAATGTGATGTTACCTATAGAAGATAATTTTTTTCTTGTGATAGTCAAAAAGAGAACTTCTTACCCACAAAACTACTTACTGTATGATTTGGACACAAAATTTCAGTGAAATCTAGGGTTTGTCAGTTTTTAAAACCCAGTTTTGAAAAACTGGTTTTTTGAAGAAATTTATATAATTTGGAAACAAAGACCTATTAAAACAATTAAAAAATCTGTAACTTGAAAACTTGGGGTAGAAACAGAGCAGTTTTTGTTGATTTGGCTGTTGAGCCAGCAGAAATGAGTGACTGTTCCCATCTATCAGCAAGGTACCGAGATGACCATCAATTTCATGACACCTAGCAGTGCATGCAATAGAACCAGAAGGCTAATATTTTGAACAGTGTTGATTTTAGGTCTGAACACTCACACTTATTAGTGTGGAACAAAATATCAACTTAACAACTTCTGCTGCCCATTTGCTATGAGGAAACCACATATTAGCCAACTGCTGCAATTGTATGTTTTGTTCCATTACATTAAATAGGATATGATAATACATTGAGGCAACAGTTGAGTTCACAGTGTACTCAACAGAAACTATACCATCTGTTTCTACCTTTGTAATTATTATTATTAATTAATAAATAATTCATCCAGTAATTGTCTGCTACCAACTTCAATAACAGCTAGCATAATGTCAGCAATTTAAACTATTTAAGAAAATTGCACAACTCCATAAAAAAGTAAGGATAGTATAACATTAGAATCAACGAAGGAGTCCTGCATTTATTCCAGAACATCCCATCCCATCATCAGATCCTATAAAAATTAGAACAAAAATGTCTTAAATTTTTTTTGGTTCAAATTTATGTAGAATCTACCCATTTGGACTGCCAAAGAACTTATGATTGTATAAAATCCTATATAAATATTTTTCATATTTTGCTTTGTTTTTGAGATTTGGCCTACCAACAATTCATATCAGAAAAAAAAATTAAACCTCCCACCTAAAAGCTAAGAGACGTGGAAAACAAATAGTTGTATCAACATGTACTGTACAAACTGAAGCTTTACTTTAAATTTTAAAAGTTGATTTTTTGAATACATGAAAGTTGAACTTGTTTGCTGTATAGAATTACATGTATACATTTGCAGAGGACATTTTGAGAAGTTCTTGTGAATTATTCTATTTAATTTTATAAGAAGCAAAACATTATTCAAAGTAAATTTACAGTGAAAAATTCTTGCTTTCCAACTTTGTTTACTGTAAAACAAATAGATATAGGCTTTGTTTGTGTTTATTACAGCAGGCCCTACTTTGACAACAATCACTTACTTTAATATGTTGACAGAAGCATAAAAAACACAAAATTCCTTTAAAAAGTGAACAGCTCTAGTGTTAGTATTTTTGGAGAAAATTTGAAAAGTAGGTTTTTGGCAAGTATTATACATATATACAAATATATATATTTATATTTACAGTGGTTTTTTTCAATGTGATCCTGGTAATTAACAACTTTCTTGATGATCTACAGAGAAAAAATTTTTCCTACTTCTGCTGTATGGGAAAAAATTAAAGAAAAACCAGAGGTTTTCTTTTGTGGAATGAAAAATTAACTAAATACAGTAGAACCTTGATTATCCAGACTAATTGGGGGTGAAGGTAGTCCAGATAAGGAAAAATCCGGATAATTGAAACAAATACTTTAATTTGTCTTTTAATGATAATACAACACGTTTTCTTTTCTATGACATATCGGTAATATTAAAAGTAAATACTGTATTTAAATTGTGATCAAATTTTCAAGAAACAAACGTTCGTACTGAATTTGGACTACTACTGACCAACGCTAACCGACTACCTATTGTTTAAAAGGCCCTCTGGTGGCGCAAGAAGACGGATTTTATAAAATAAAAAGCAGTTGAAACTGCATTTTTAAAAAAAAAAATTTGACAAACTATTTATCGTTTTATGACGAGTAAAATTTTTTTGTCGCGTTCACGGCTTTTAAGTAATGCATAAACCTTCAAGGCGCGAGGCCCTTCGGACTGTGAGGCATAGGCGGTGGCCCATGTCGTCCATGCCTTACGCCGCTCTTGGTCATAGAAATGATATAATTTGAATATAAATTATTTATAAATACGNTTGTAAGTTAGCTAAAATGCTTGATTTTCTTTGTAATATTGCAGAAATCAAGTAAAGTCATTTCCTGTTTAATAAATAGAAAATGGCATTAAAATATTAAAAAATAGCCTTTTATTCTATTTTCCAATTAGAAGATATGATGTGTTTTAGAAGCAGTATCTGTTGATGATACGATATACCTAGTTATCATTACAGTTGACAGTTCTAAAAAACATTATATTTACTAATTGTGAAATGTACTTTATAATTGTTTTAGCATGTTACAAATTATATCTGCTATACATAAAAATT